GCCTTCTGGAGCGACATGGTCACATTAGCGAAACTCAGACCAAAGCCGGTGAAAACAGTTAACGCTGGTTTTCCCTATGTAAACCACAAGAAGTCCGGGCGCTTGTCGTTCGAGTCGTATAGCCATTCACCTCCGACTATCTCACCATCAGCGTTCATTTTCAACAGGTACGTATTGCCGAGTGTCTACAACGATTGTTTGCGTTGAACTCGGAGTCCACGGGTGCTAATTATTCTCTGTTGCTCGATTACGGGTTGATCTGTTTGCACTAGATTTGTAGGAAAAATGTTGCTTCCTCTGAGTGGCGGTTGTAGCTTCCTTGCACAGAAGAGCAACACAATGTCAGTGCTGGAAAAAAAAGTAACAGGGGGTAGTATTCAATGTATGAAGTACTGTTGATGGAATCAATGAATTTACTAGCGTGTCTTACCCGTGAGAGGCGCTAAAGCTGAATGCATATCTTCTTATTGGGTTCCAAGCGAATAAGCTCGGCAAATTGCGTGAGCTAGGTTTTCAACTTGGTATTCTAACGAGTCTCCATGGACGAAAGCAAAGCTCCAGATATACACTCCATCCGTTTCCGACACTCGACACCCTGCTACTTGACCGACCCGATGCTCCTTATACGTCTTTTCATTGTTAGTGACATCACTACAGGCCATTTTAATGGTTAACGGGATTCGTTTTAAATAACACTATCAGGCGATCGACGTCATACATGTCAGATTCGCGCTGGAGGGGCCCAGCGAGTGCACGCGGCCGCCCAGGAAGCCCGCGCATCGGAATTGCCGCCATGGTTAGGCCAATCTTTATCTTCCCTAGCAAGTCCAATGACACAATTACGTGTGCACAGGCCCAACCTGTGTACAAGTAACTTTTGCAGGTGAAGCCCAGAGCATTACGAACCGCCTGGATCTGTGAAAAAAAAAGCAAACAGTTAATCTGAGTTCAACGTTATAAATTAAAGCAAATCAATACCTCACCTCATCACAGCTCCACTTAGCACGTAGTGCCAAGGAAGTCATGTCTTCAATCCGACTATCCTCCACGATAACCTGCTGCATAGAAAGAAATTGCACCTCCGCCGTTTTGATGGACTCCTCTTCGCCTAGATTTCCCGTCAACGATTGCTTGAATCTATGACTTACAACACCGCCAGTTAGCTTAAATATAAGATAACAATTATATTGACCTACAATTTCGTACGCCCCGTCGTCACTTTAGCTGCTGCTTTGTTGCTTGTCTCTAACTGCACCACTATGGTGCTCTCACAGTTGATGAAAATTATGGTACGCCCAGTTTTGACTTTGGCGACGCGGTGATTACAGGGGCGAAGCAACTTGTTCTTTGCTTTTATGACGGCTGCTGCATTTAGTGGTCCTGCATTCAAAACATATTCTTAAAAACCAAATTTGGGGTAACTTATAATATGTTCGCGTACCTTCTGTAAAATGACGGTGCTGGTCGAATGCAAGGTTGGTCGCGTCATAAAAAAAGCACTCTAGGCAATACAGAGTTCAACACGGTTACTGTGGCGCGTTCTTGTAGTCTGTAATGATGACTTTAATCACGCGGTGATGTCTTTCAACTGGCTGTTGGGTGGGCAAAAACCTGGTATCGATGAGCTGTAGGCATTTTGGAGCCCTGAAGCCAAGTCTTACTCACCGTGCGATTCCCAAGCCTTTTGGACAATGCTTTGAGTTGCTTCAGCGAACGGGACTTGTGAAGTAGCCAAATGTGAGATTTGACGATGTCTTTGGCGAATCCCTTTCTTTTTTTAAGCCTGGTTTGTTTGAGACACTGCTCATAGCACGTGAGGACCTCTACATGGGGCCACACCATCTCGAGCTCAGACGTAATTGCGTCCGAGTGAGCATTGCTGGCGCTACGAATGTTGACGTCCAATTCGAAGAATAATTTTACATACTCCACCAAAGCACGAAGTATTCGCTCGTATGAAACGTGCTCTCAGTATGCGCAAATATGTAAATCCAAGGGCGAAAACGTTGAACGTAGCTTGGCCCGGAGCTTTCGACCGAAATTCCACCGCAGGCTACTAGTGTCCATCCTCCGAAATGGATCCTATAGGTTCCACCTGTCGGTAGAACTAAAGAATCACCTTGATCACGAACCGCACGTTGAACGTTTTGAAAAAGCGCCCTTGATGCTCACCAATAGAAGGCACCGATACTCCCGTAATGTCGACTGAATGTTCAAATTCATCCAAAACTATCACATCGTTCATTTCAACAACATTGTTTTCATCTGCACGAAAATATTCATCGTGGTCCTAGCAAAGTCTGCTATTTGTCCAGCTTCCTATAACACAAACTTGCTTATTTACCAGCCCTCTCCAGCCTTTTTTAAGGTGCGCTTTACGATTTTCCATTTTTTTTTTCGTGTCGGGTATTAAGGCAAGCATACTGGGATCGCGAAGGTACTTAAACATCATCATGTTGCGAACACGACCGGCTGACATTCCAAGTTTTAGTAGAGCGTTGATTTCTGGTTTAATGACGGGAGATATACATCTAGTCCGTAAGTTGACAACTGAACCGGTATGCTGACCTTTCTGAAAAACCTGAAACCGCATTCCTAAGTCGCCGGCTTGGTGTACGATGCGCTTAATGCTGTGGCGGCAGTCTTGATGTGATCGACACAAACACTCCTTACAAACACGAAATGTCGATATATACCTTGTTTTGTATGTATACGAATTCATTCAAGCGATGAGGGTTTCTCTCGGCGTCTTCCTCAGTGTCAAAGTAGCCGACTCTGACGTAGGAAGATACCTCAGTCAAATTATTGATATCTGCAGACGTGCAGGCTCCTTCAGATTGGCTCGATTTCGACGGATGGTACTAATCATACGCAGCAGGCTATTAGCACTGAAGTTATGCTGGTGGTGAGGGCAACAGACAATCATTGCCTTCCAACAGCGGTTCAGAGAGAATAACAGCTTTTCATACAAATTGAGCACCAACAGGTCAATCAGTATTGAGCGACATAAATTAAGGTTATTCCGGAGTCCACGGGTTTGTGTTTTGTCAATTGGGTACGCCTTTCTATAGAACGCTGAATTGACACTTAACAAAACGATTGCTGAAGGTTTCTCAATATGGTGTTTGCCTGGGTATAAATGGATTCAACCAAGTGAAGGACCTCTCGCAGCAGTGAATCATTAGCAAAATCTATCTCAACAAAGGCTCATCACGTTGACGACGTAGAGGTACACAACCCATTCGAGAAGTATTTTAAAAATACTGTCCAGGCCATTCATACAGCTAGAAACGCAATACGACCGACGAGCTCATTGTTCACTTGTCAGGCTTCAATAGGATAAAACTCAAATAGAAGACACTCCCCCTCCCCTGTATTGCCTGGGTATAAAATCCAAAAACGTATGACATGAAAATGATGGACAGGAACAGGAGTCCATCCTGCCCATTTGTCAATTGATCTCGAGGAAGAGAATACCGCCCGTGTCCAGCACAAGACGAAGCCTATTTCTCCAACCACCGGCGCTGAGAATTATCCAGGTCGCGACGGAGCTATTAAAGATGATGGCACCGTGCCGAAGGACTGACAAGGGCGCGCCTCACAAACCGCAACCTGACATCAACTGCCGGTGGCGATTTTGGTGATCTAAACGTATACTTAGATGGTGCACCGGAGTTAAAGCCGAAGAATCTGCCTACGTCGCCTATCTACCGCCCGTCACTGCGGTCCGGTTCGAACTATCGCGCCTCTCGTGAATCAACGAAACATTTACAGATGGGAGACTTGTGGCCTCCGCGTTGAAGGAAAAGTTTGTTGTAAACGCCAGTTATACGTACCTGTTGGAAATGAACGCTGATGGTGAGATAGTCGGAGGTGAATGGCTATACGACTCGAACGACAAGCGCCCGGACTTCTTGTGGTTTACATAGGGAAAACCAGCGTTAACTGTTTTCACCGGCTTTGGTCTGAGTTTCGCTAATGTGACCATGTCGCTCCAGAAGGCGACAGCATGTTTGGAGTCGAGTTATTAACTGTGACGGGGTGTCACCTTTAGTAAAACTATGTAAATATGCAATGGTTGGCTCCTAGAGCCTCTGGTACCATGTACCAGGTATTACAAGAGTGACAGGTCGCTCTTCATGCAACTTGGGTACGCTTGGGTTCGTACCCCGTTACATTAATAGTGGATCAAAAGAGGAGACCGAATACGGTGAAATTGCTGTGAAGAAGAAAGCGATGATATTTTGGATACGCTAAGGCTATTATAGAATGACAAAAAAAAAACAAGAAGAAAGGAGCAAAAAAAAACAGATCCAATAATATGTGGATCTTAAATATGGAATCTCGCTGTATTTCTTCTTTCACAATATAATAGAGGATACGAAGATGCTCTTAAGAAGTTTTTCAAGGGGACAAAAATAAGGCAAATATCATAGCTATAGCGAAGTCCAACCGTAATAGAACTTCTTACTACTACTACAACTACTAACGTTATATCAAAGCTCAAATGGACGCTCGTTTTGTTTAGTAACCAGGATAAATTATACTGACCTAACTAACGTTAACCAATAAACATTGACACGATCTTCAGAATGCTGGAGCAGCACCTGGAAGTTGTACTGGTATTCGGTGCGTCGTCAGTTGGCGCGTGATGAAGGCAGCGAATTTCTCGATACCCACAGTAGACTGCGGCATCATAATGTGTGGAAACAGTGTGAACACGTGCGGCATGTGCTCGTTCACGTCCAGTTCCACTTGAACACCGTCGGATCGGGCATTCTTGGCCAGGAGCATCGACTGTTTGTGTAGAATGTCGAACTCTGCCGCCTGAATGAAAAGTGGGGGCAAACCTCGCAGATCCGTCTGCAGCATGGCACCTTCGCACCACGACGCACGAGGAGTTTCCTGGACGCAGAAGTCTCGAATCGCATCCAACATGGATTTGGAGATGAAGCAGTGGTCCGACACGGCCACATCGGCCGACAGATCTGCGTACGGGCAGTTGCATAGCGCCGCAAGAGGCATCTCTCGATGAGCGCGACGAAGTCTCAACAGCGTTGCAAGAACCAAACCGCCACCGGCGCTGTCGCCAGCTAGGATGATGTTCTCCGGTGACATCTTCTCGTGCTTAACGAGGTAGTCGAACATGACCATGGCGTCATCCAGAGGTGTGGGGAAGCAGACCTCGGGTAATTTACGGTAGTTGGCCAGTAAGATCTGGACGTCCATCGAAGTCTCAGTGCCACCCCAAGCAGCTCGAAGTTGGCTTTGCACCTGAGATAGTAGACGACTGGTGAACTCGACGAAGAAGCGAGGACTGAAGAGTGCGTAGCCCCCTCCATGGTAGTACAGCACTACGATCCGTCTCTCGTTGTTGCTCCCACCTCTAGAGCGTAGCCATAGATGCTCCAGTCCGTTGTATCGGAAGCTCTCGAGCTTGTGGCCGTGACGCCAACACGCAAAGGCCCCTAGTAGCCGCCCGACGAGTTCGAAGTTGCGTCGGAACGCCAACGCGTTGGGCAACTTAAGGATGTGGCTGCCGTTGCGTTGGCCTGCAGCGAACGCGATGGCCTGGAACCACTCGTACCATAGCGTCCACTCTGGGAACTTGGGGTGACATCCCCGCTTGATGAACTGCAGTACGGCAGCATTGGCCGCTGCACCGACATGACCGGTCAAGGTGCAGACGTCTCTGAACGAGAGACAGAAAGGTCGAAGGAGTTCGTGAACTCCCAGTAGCAACACCAGTTTGATCAGGATGAAGACGTGGTTGAATCCGAGCCATTGCAAGTGAGTCGCATTGACCCATAACGAGATGGAAGCGACGGTGAGGAAGACGGGGAGAGTGTATGCAGCACCGTAGCCCGACGCTCGACCGCTGGCGAATTTCTGAACGTGTTTGCGAACTTGCTTCATTGTGAGAGGTTGGAATGAAGACTTGAGCACAATGAAGCGAGTTGAAGAGTGAAAGGCGATCGCAGAGCTGGAGTCATTGGATCTTGTCCCTCTGCTGGTGAGGCCAGCACGTCGAATTTCGACTCGAAGAGGCGAAGTGACGCCTCGTCTTGGATCTGCATCTTTTGGAGCAACGAAGGCCGTTCGAAAGGGCTCCGCTAAGCTGCTCCATGAAGGGTAGGATAACTTCCAGCGATGAGTGGGAGGTGATGACAGCTGCGGCTGTAGTTGACTGCCCCCACTTGAGTTGCTCAAAGCAGCCTACGATGTCGTTGCCGCATTCCCAATGTGCTGTATGGGCTGGTACAGTATCGTTAGTGTGGTCTCCGCAAAAGCGTAGCGCGTTC